CAGAAACACTCATCAACACATACACAAAATAATCGTCCTCCTTCTTGCTGAGCTCTGACTGGCTATGACTCTCCTACTTATGTCCATTGGCAGAGTTGTAAAAAAGCGTTGCAGCACTTTGGAGAATGGGTAGCTGTCTCACAACCTGTTATCCTCAGGGAGAGGGCCAGGGGGCACCATTTATGAGGAAGGTTGAGAAACTTTGTCTTAAACTGTTTACACTGCTCACTGGGTCATGGGATGACAAGGTGGAGTAACAAAGTCATAGTGTGGAGAGTGTTCATTGTAGAAATGAGGTTATGCGCAGAAGGTGTTTCAACTGTTCTGAGATTCTATCTGTCCATATCTCTCGAGGCTGCAATCTTCTAGCCTATATACATCAATTGAACATGACGTGGGAATTAGAGCCCCATGCCAATTGTTAGAACTAGGGTGGCACAGATACCAAGTACAGTACTTGGTACGAGTACATGTACCAATACTTTTGAGCTCCAAGACTAGACTAGAGAAAAGTTCACAAATTAGGAGGCAGCTGTCATTTGTAAGGAGCACACGGAGCTCCTGGGATTTGTATATCTCTGTTTTAATGTATGATTTAGTTTTTTATAAATATAAATAAAGGGATGCACAGATACCAGTTTTGCGAGTACGAGTACTGGTACTTGCCGAGTACTTACAAGTACAAGTACTGATAGATTTTTGTTTATTGTCATGTGACCGTTTTTCTAAAACAATACAGACTAATGATTTCAGGACAGTGGTGGAGCGCCAGAGCCCGGTCCCTGCTGCATCCGCTGCAACCCTGGTAGTTCTCATGAAAATGCCAAGTATCTGCTCTGGCACTCGAAAAGTATCTGTGCATCCCTAGTTAGAACATTCAGATGAACATTCAGATTAAAGATTAAGAACATTCAGATTAAACTCAATTGGGATACCAATTGAGTTTAATGTCAAACTATTGACCATTTTAATAATTATTTTGTTTGCCTTATGCTAATGCATTTATGATTTGTGTTGAAGAGTATATTTACCAGATTCCAATATTTCAACAGTGCTGCCTTTTATGGGGGTGCTTTATTGATTAAATATTTGCAATATGGAATGGTGACGTAGCATTGTTGAATTTATTCCACCCGCAGTTAAACTGTATGGTGAACAACTTGTCATTTAGTATGCAATATAGTGAGAATGCAGTCCTTTTTTTAGATGCTGATAGGAGTAGAAGGGGTTCAACTTACTAGTGATTTATATAGTAAAACAATCAGATCGCAATGAGAGTTATCATCCTTATAAGGGGAATTTATCAAAACTGAAGCAGACAAAATGTGGAGCAGCTGTGCAAGGCAACCAATCAGCTTCTTGCTTTCATTTTCAAATCTTAACTGAACAAACGGAAGAGAGAAGCTGATTGGTTGCCATGGGCAACTGCTCCAGTTTTTATAAATTACCCTCAATGTGTTTAAATCAATACCGAAAGCCCAATTTAAGAGGGTTGTATGCACTGAGGTGAGCTAGAACAGAGAGACATTAGATTACAGGAAATGAAGAGTAAGTTGACGCAGAAGGTTTATCCAGAGAAATTGCTGGATGAACAATTATAAGTAGTGAAACAAGAGGGCAAATATAAAAAGTGTTAAGAGAAGGGATAGGAATAGAATACCATTTGTGACAATACCATACATTGTCCCAAACGATTTTCACTTGTAATAAAAAAAAAAACCATTGGAGGATTCTCAGGGATAATTACCGACAAATAGATGCATTTAAAATGGCACCTATTCAGTCTTTTAGATCGGGTGGCACAGTATACAGCTCAGTGATGAGATCAGATTTTATACAAACAAAGAGTTTAACCTTTTTCCAGACCCAGGAGAACAAGATCATTTGTCTGTCTCTGTTGTATACAATGTTCTGCAATGATTAGAGGGGAGTCGTTTGCACACCCACATCAGGGAACACATATACCTATTAAACACCATTTAGCATGTCAGAGTTCCTATATTAAATGCCCTTGTGGGTTATACTACATTGGGGAAACAACACAGAAATTAAAAGACCGAATGACTAGACATAAATATGCAATTAGGGATAAAAAAAAAAGTGGAATTACCACTGGTGAGACATTTTGTAGACTATGGGCATGCAGTGTCACAATTGAGATTCATGGGATTTGATCCCTAGGCCACGGAGAGGTGGCAATAAGGAATTAATTTAAAAAGACGAGAAATAAAATGGATTTTTTAATTTAAACACATAACAACCTAGGAGATTAAACTGAGATTTGGATCTGCATTTATTCCTGTAGGTTTTAACTGGGTAAAGGGTTAATAGAATGTGTTAAAATTTCACAGGTGGAATTAAGTTCATCCTGAGGTGTTTAATGCAAGACAAGAGAAGTGTGTGAAACGAATGGGTTAAATTGTGAGGGTATCAGATTACGTTGGGTGTTTAAAGATGAAATGAGAGAAACATGTGTATGTCTGTATATCACTTCTTGGGCTTGAGAAATAACCATATGCGGTTCGCAACTGTTGCCCTTTTGTATCATGTCATGATCATTTCTTGATGAAGAAGATTTAGTGCTGCAACACCTGTCAATAGCTACAGACCTCCAAACTTCGTGTGGCCTTCAGATTGGCACAACAACACTACGTAGAGAGCTTCATGGTATGGGTTTCCATGGCCGAGCAGCTGCATCCAAGCCTTACATCACCAAGTGCAATGCAAAGTGTCAGATGCAGTGGTGTAAAGGACACCACCACTGGACTCTAGAGAAGTGGAGACATGTCCCCTGGGGTGACCAATCGCGCTTCTCTGTCTGCCAATCCGACGGGCGTGAGTGGGTTTGGCGGTTGCCAGGAGAACGGTTCTTGCCTGACTGCATTGTGCCAAGTGTAAAGTTTGGTGGAGGGGGGATTATGGTGTGGGGTTGTTTTTCAGAGGTTGGGCTTGGCCCCTTAGTTCCAGTGAAGGGAACTCTTAAGGCATCAGCATACCAAGACATTTTGGACAATTTCATGCTCCCAACTTTGTGAGAACAGTTTGGGGATGGCCCCTTCCTGTTCCAACGTGACTGCGGACCAGTGCACAAAGCAAGGTGCATAAAGACATGGATGAGTGAGTTTGGGGTGGAGGAACTTGACTGGCCTGCACAGAGTCCTGACCTCAACCCGATAGGATAAATTAGAGCGGAGACTGCGAGCCCGGCCTTCTTGTCCAACATCAGTACCTGACCTCACAAATGCGCTTCTGGAAGAATGATCAAACATTCCCATAGACACTCCTAAACCTTGTGGACGCCTCCCCAGAAGAGTTGAAGCTGTTATAGCTGCAAAGGGTGGGCCAACTCAATATTGACCCCTACGGACTGAGACTGGGATGCCATTAAACTTCATATGCGTGTAAAGGCAGGCGTCCCAATACATTTGGCAATATAGTGTATACACATATATAAGATACCAGTTTTTCGGTATCCGGTATTTTTTTTTTTGGTACTCGCTGATATTGAGTACCGATACCCCCGATTATCAGGAAGCCTGATTGCCTGGGAAGCCAGTGTTCTATCAAAAGAACACCGGCTTAACTTGCTGAGGCTGCCATGAGGTATCGTTCCGCTTCCTGATTGGTTAGGAAGCCAGGCAGCCAAACAACAAGTGAAGCCGGCTTCCTAGCCAATCAGGTGGCAAATCATGACCCATCTCCTGGCTTCCTGATTGACTAGGAAGCCAGCTTCACTTGTTGCTAGACAGCCTGGCTTGCTGACCAATCATTAAGTGTCGCCCGGCTTCCTGATTGGATAGGAAGCTAGGTTGCCTAGCAACAAGTGAAACTGGCTTCCTAGTCAATCAGGAAGCCGGGAGGTGGGTTACAAACCCACAACCGGCTACCTGATTGGAAAGGAAGCTGGCTCCATGCTCACTCAGCATTGCCAGTTAGAGGGAATACTCGGCCAAATACTCTATCGGCGCCGATACTAGTATCAGTACATCCCTAATATATATATATATATATAT